TGTTCGTCTATATCCATGGAGTCGGATGCGGATGCGGATGCAGGTGGAGTCAACAAGTATGTGGTCTTGGCTGGTCTGAAACTCGGCTCCTTTTCTTCTTGAACAGGAGGTAGCGGGTCGGCCGTTAGATCCACATAGTTGGCGTTCCATCTTCTATGATTCTGAACCTTATTCTCGACATCATTACGCAACTCGTTGTCCTTCTCCGCGAGCTTGTCGGACAGGATAGTAAGATCTGAGTACTCGACAGATCTTGCTCCATCCGGACGGACAATGAGGCGAAGCTGGCTGTATGGCGCTTGACGCGGCGGCAGTTGTGCATCTGTCTTCGGTCGCTTAGGCGGCCGAGTGTTGTACAGATCGTCATCTTCGTTCCGTATGTTCATACGAGTCTTCGTCTCCTTAAGCGTAGCTCGCTGCTCAAAGATCAACCGGTCGTTTTTCAAGAGCTCTCTCTTGAGTAACTCCCGTTGACCGGAGAAGACGACGATCTGCCGGGCGTCTTCTAGCTCACGACGCAATTTCTTGAGCTTGTCAGTCACTTGGACGTCACGTTGCCTCATCTTTCTCGTCTGGCGGACTTCGCGCCTTCGGAAACAGACGTAAGGGTCCATGTCGTCATGCTCTTGATGCGTCTCGAACTTAAGCGAAGATTGCAGGCCCTTGTTACCGCTGGTCTGTCGGCGGTTCTTCCAGTACTCATATACATTTTTGGCATGAGCCTGGATGAGCTTAGCGGGAAGTATGTGGTTCATTGCTTGGACCATGATATCGAATGGCACTATGGTATTATCGACTGAAGCAAAGGGTGCCTGTTCGGCCGCGGTATCCTCGAGCACCTCCATGATCCTCTCGAAGTCATCCTCGGAAAGCTGGGCGTTCCCCGTCAACTTAGCATTATATGACTTGAGGTATCCATCATCCTCCGTTGTCATGTCATAGAGACAATTTATCGTTTCTTCGACAGTCTCGGAGAACTTGATGTAATGTCTGGGTTCTACGTATGGGGTGGGATATAGGTCATCATAGTTGACCTCACTCTTCACGGGCGGCGGCACGGGAATTTCACTCTCTGTGCTCTGGCCGGCTCCCTTGAGCGCAGCTTGTAGATGGTATTCCTATAAGCAGATACGTTAGCATGACGGTAGGTGGTTGGTTGACATGTCATAGGCCGATATCAAGTTGATATCAAATGGACCATAATGTAATCGAGTGGAGTCACGTGCCAATCACGTGATATACGCATCAAAGGTAAGAAAATCGATAATAACATACATTTTCTTCTGCTTGTTCGACACCGGTCGCGATTTGCGAATCATTTGTCATGGACTCATATTCGTTGGAGTCGACTTCGGATTCTCGGAGGACTGGTAGAAGGGTCTTTGTGTTAAGCTTCTTGTATCGCACTTTCCGGGTCGACATGGTGGGCGGCGGTGTGGAAGGATGAGGGTGGAAAAGTCGCGAAGTTGGGCGGAAAAAGCCCGAAAAAAATCGGGAATCTAAAAGTTTAGGTCATGCGACGATGAAAAATCGAATTTTTGAGTGCTAAAACGGGCTTCTTGGTGGTTGTTTTGATGGCCAAAGTATCGGCGTTGGATGAGGTGACGTTGAATTGTTTGGGGCGCAAATTTTTGCTTGGTCGCCGCAGTAGGCAGCCCAAGCAGCAACAACAAAGTGAGAATAGTGATTGTGCAGAGGTTGTGCAGAGGTCCTAGTGCAAATGGGGGGGGAACCGGGGGAACCTACCTTTACTGAAAGGGCCGTTGCCCCACCAAGTTTCTGTGTCTTGCGCCTTCGTTCTAGCCCGTAACTATCGATGATGACGAACGCTGATTGGTTGCATCCCTCGCGAACGTGCAATTTTGGGCATAACTTTGGGGGGGGAGGGGGAAAGGGGGACCGGGGCCTGATAACGCCGCTAAGGACGCAAAGAGCCCAGTGGCCATTACCTACGCTGTACAGTAGCTTTTAGGTCGTTACTGCCCATTCTTTAGCTGCGCGTGTACCTACTGCTACATTTGCTTCCCCTCCCCCTTTTTCCCTCCTCCCTGGCGCAATTCCATCGTACAAGATAAGGCAACAACAATGAAATGAGTTGAAGTGAAAAGGGGGCAGCGGCGCAACTTGGCAGCCCAACCAATCAGATTTGTTCGCATGATGCGATCATTCTTGCAATTGCAATTTTTTTCTCCTTACTTCCTTGCGACCAAGGTAATTTACGTACTTGGATGCGACGATTGATTCCTTTGAATATTGATTTCTATTGCCTGCGACTACCTAGGTATCTACCTTAAAGAGTCTATTTATGTATGTCCATTTGTATCTGAGTTTATTGACGATAAAATCTAAAATTAATTCTTTGAATACGAGTTTTTACGAACACAGGTATTTTTAAGCATTCTATTGTATTATTGCGAATGCTTATTTTCGAGTTCAAATGATATTATCTTTCAGTTGCAGCAGGCTAGGTAATTAGTAACAGATCATGATGATATCGCAGAATACTATGCACATAAAAGTTGACTGCCTGATTTGAGTAACCGTCATCGAATGTCACACAAGCACCACCAGTTCAGGTTGTCATTAAATTGTGGCGTAACACACGTATCAGCCTATCAGGTGTGGCCGTGCTGTCCCCAAGATAAAGGGGATTTAAGATCTCGGCGGCCTTGTCTTGGAGAGGACCCCACCAACCCACATTCCCGCCTAACTCTAAGCTTTCCCATCAGCCTCATCGTCAGCGAAGCCGTCCAAAACGTGAACTGCACTGCTGCAACTACCGACTCGACGAACAGTAAACAATCTTATTGTCCTACTGCGAATACGTAAAATATCATTTTCATATCGAGTAGATACTTTCAGCAAACCAGATCGACCTCGAAGCGCATTAATTGTCGTACTCGACCGCCTTTTCTCTAGGCTCGAAACCGAACTCCGCCAAGGAGCGTCCTGCATCATGGGGAACACCACGAGCGCTGTGCTGGATAACATCGTGCAGGGGTCCAACTGTGTGTTTTTGGTATATACCGGGCTGGTTTCATGCGTGACACTAATTGCGCCGTGTAGTCGATCGAGATGAGGTGGAAAGACTCAGGAAGAGGTTCATGAAGCTCGATAAAGTACGAGGCATTCCCTTCAAAGAGCCCCATTTTGTTTAACACTATCAATATGATATTAATACACAAATCTCTTTTTTTTTAGGATAACTCGGGCACAATCGAACGAGAAGAGTTTCTTTCCCTACCACAAATATCGTCTAACCCGCTCGCGACGAGGTACGGCTATCATTCCCACCCACTATAACCCTTTTCCCCCTTCCTTTTTACCCCAAGACTAACAGGACGAAACCAACGCGAACAGGATGATAGCAATCTTCGACGAGGACGGGGGCGGCGACGTGGACTTCCAGGAGTTCGTGTCGGGGCTGAGCGCGTTCAGCAGCAAGGGCAACAAGGAGCAGAAGCTGCGGTTCGCGTTCAAGGTGTACGACATCGACCGGGATGGGTACATCTCCAACGGCGAGCTGTTCATCGTCCTCAAGATGATGGTCGGCAGCAACCTGAAAGACCAGCAGCTCCAGCAGATCGTCGACAAGACCATCATGGAGGCCGACCTCGACAAGGACGGCAAGATCAGCTTCGAGGAGTTCACCAAGATGGTGGAGACTACAGATGTTAGCATGAGCATGACTTTAGGTATGTGTGTTTCTTGTCGTCGCTTTTCACTCGAGAGGAGAGTATGCTTGCTTGACCTTGGATTGCTAATGACTTGGTGTACAGATCAGTTCTAGATACCTACCTAGCTATACCATGTACGGTTACAGTAATGAATGATGAAAGTTGCGACGATGGTCGCTTGAGCAGAATTTATTTGCGCTACGAATATGAATCTTGTCAAATTGAGACAACTGGTGATTCTTTACAGCGTCTAGCGTGGTGGGAGTATGCCGCTCCCATTTGGACACGATCCTATAGATGATGTTACTTCTTTGGTTCATATTGTTGATGATCATTCTAAGCTCCAAGTTTCATGGTCATAAGGGGCCTTGGATATGGAAAGTTGTGGTGTGAAATTATCGACGGTGATGGTTGACAAGCTGAATATCAGGTACTTGTGTGTTTTCTTATCACAGCTGTGAGTTATCATCAAATAAGAGCGCTATCAATGTTTTCTAACATATAGAACCAATGATAGCCCGTTCCTGTCCTAAAATCTATAGAGTTAAGTAACCAATATATCCTATAGGACAAGGCTTCCGAGTTCCCCATCGCCGCGTATCGCACAGGAGGAAATGCTCGATGGTGCCACTGCTTTATTTGGATATTCTCGACCCCGAGGTAGCCCAGCAAAGTTTCCAACCACAGGTAAAATAAGACATCTCTAACAACGTTATGCTCGACTAAACGTATAGAAAGAAAGACAGGATATGCCCACGACAGATGATGATATTGTGACCAGTCAAAGAGCCAGTCCAAGGTATGAGGCAGATCTGAGTAAAGGGTAGGGAATTCATAGAAATGGTTTATAAGGTGAGTGATATTCTCTTTGATTTGCTCCCCCGAACATATGGTATCCATCTAAGCTACCCACGCGCACAGGGCTTGACTTTGATATACTACAGATATCTTGATGTTTTTAACCTATCCTATCGCACGTAGCTCTACCGCAGCACAATATTATTATGCGCTTCGCTCCACGAGGAGACGTCCCATCATGCCAATATTTTCAAAACACTGCGTATTCTGAAATACCGTGTCTTGGCATCTTCATACACCACCCTTACATAGGTATCTACATAGCCAATAGCTGCTCAGCGGTATAGAAACGTAGCTATATGTCTCAAAGCATGTTGAAAGTGCCTCCTCTCCCCCCTACTCCTCCTCCTCCTCTAGAGAGATAGAGAAGACGCTAGTAGAGTTCCGGCCTGGTGATAAAAAAAGATACATCAAAAACGACGGCGTGATTACTTACTTGTAATCGCGCCTCATCTGAGTGACAGAGGGTTTGGCCGGGGATTGAACCCGGGACCTCTCGCATGCTATAGCTTGAAGGGTGGACCCTAAGCGAGAATCATACCACTAGACCACCAAACCTGCTCCTGCTAGGTGCAAAGTTTCTCTCACTCATTGACGAACATCTTCCTGATCTGAGCGTTTATACTCCTGGACAGATGGACGGAAGCGCACGAAACACTCTCCCCCAGGCGGCATCTCACGATAATCAAACAATCCTCTGGTACGTAAGGTAGTGGTCGAAGCATACGCAAAGTGCGATGTGGGATACAGTATAAGTTGATGGTTCATGTTGCTCCACTAACTAAATAAGACCCAGTGCCCCCAAGAACAAAATTTTCTGAGGGCTTGGTGTTTTCGAGAATTTTTCGTTGTCCTTCTCACGTGGATATGGGCACCGTGAGTGTTTGATATAGCTTCCTGTTTTCGCCTAAGTACTGGACTGTCTACCTATGTAGGTCACACTCTCCGTCATCACTAACTTTGGCAGCGAAGGCATGTCCACCAAGGCCACCTCATAGGGAGCGTTGCGGACCTGTCCATAAATGAGTGAGATATACAGATGATATTGAGTGGGTTTGGTAGGGATAAAGCTCAAATGATGGTACTGTCTGGTATGACACAGGTGCATATCTTAGTAGTAAGCTCTACAATAGCTGGTTGAGCATATACAAAGGACGCATAGGATCATAAGGATCACGGCAACTAGAAACAACATAGAGTCTTTACAACATATACAAGCGCCGCTGCTCTACTGAGTACACGCACCCAAACAGTCCTACATACTTAGGATACGTTTCCAGGCTTCCACGGGCTGCAATTCCGAGATCCGTACGCGTGAGCACTGGCTCACGCAAGAAGCTTGAACTCCAAAGCCAGTCTCTGTATCTCTTAGACAAGAGCTTCTCTCCCATTTCGGGAAAAGTAGCCTGTCCTACGGGTATCTGCAGAGTGCAGCCGCAGTGCATAGCAGCGAGATGCGATGCAAGATTCTGCAGGACGTGACGTATTAGACGCTGTTTAGGATTCTACTGCGAGGGATGTATTTGCCTTTCCACACACACACACACACACACACACACACACACACACACACCGACTCCGCACCCGGCAGTGAAACTGGGCGATCTTCCTGTAGGTGCTTGCCAGCGGGAGCGTCCCGTTAGGTGTCAGATTGGACAGACAAACTCCGCGATGAACTTGTGGCTTTTTAGAGGAGAGTCATACATATATCCGTGCGTTTGGTGTTAGGTATTTCTACGTTGCAATATAAGGGGAGAGATGGCATTTATTTGCTGGAAAGGGGTCTTCTGACCATTCTATAGAACGCCTCATTACGCCTATTCGCCGAGTGGCGTAGAGGCCGCCTAGTATAGGTAAGTAAGTATCATGTATTTATGTTGTACCGTGCGAATAATATCGACCGATAGCTTAATGCAAGCTGATCGAATAGGAGATAAACCGTTATTATGTCTCTCCAGGATGCGATGTGCGGGTAGCTGCATCGCAATTCTTTGCTTTTTTTCTTTCTTCTCTTCGATGTAGCGAGTACATGCGATGCTACATACGTGTAAGTACTAAGGTACATACCTAGGAATATATCACTTATCAATTCTCAGATGCGAGCGAAGAATGACCTGTCATGATCGACGCCGAGGCAACGAACCCGCGATCAGAGATGTGTGTGGTGGGCAAACGGAACTGCAGATCTGGTTCGTTCGTTCGTTCGTTCAAAAAGGGCCAGGGTTCAGCTCGTCCTGGGAAAGAAATGTGTGCCCCAAATGCGACGTCAAAACCACTCAGCCTCTTTTTTCCAATAGTCTGGGATGGTGTAGCACTGATGGGTGTAGTGTGTGTAGCGGCAGCGGTGGCAACCCAGCCCTACATACATAGTACTGCGACTAACCTACCAGTGTGTGCGGTATTTCTCGACGCTTCTAGAGAGCTTTTTATTTTTATTTTACTTTTGTCTCTCTCTCTCCTGGTTACCTCAGTGGCGGCCTCAAGCAGGTTGTCGGGCCCGATCGTCTGGGTAAGGGGTCTTTGATACATTGTTCAATGTTCGATTTCGGTTAATGAGACACGACGGGGGAATATGTTGTCGAACGTCGTACAAATATATCGAACTGCTAGGACCGAACCCCCCTCCCTCTCTACATAGTACCTAATAAATCAATGTTCATTGTGTCTGGAAGGAGATAGGTAGGCCATGAAAAAAAGCCCGATTTGTTTGCTGTTGCTGTGTGCAACGAGCCAGCTAGCTTCATTGCAAACATGGCATACCTGTACCAAGAGGACCATCCGTTCCTGTCTCGGTGTTACGTGACCAACCGACTAAATCAGCAGGAAAACAAAGTAGGTAGATGGAATAATAGCATGTATGGGCACAAGGATGGATGAAAGCGATGGAGGATAAATTCAAGGGGGATTAGTAATCCACCCTGTTCAAACACCAGGGGGGAAAGATGGCTGTAGATCCTTGTCTAGAAGGAAGAGGGTGCGAGCGTAACAAAAATGACAAGTCACAAGTCTCTGTCTGCCGTTGAAGCTTTTTCGTACATTCTACATATGCAGTATCGCATCGTTTTCCTTCTTCCGTTTCCCCATGTTTGCTGAACACAGCTGGATCAGGTAGGTTATCCATCAGACGGTTACATTGGGAAGAGGACCCCTATCACATTTTGAACTAATAAAAACAGGGGAGCAAATCTTAGCGGAGCCAACACCCACCCTTCCATGGTGTCGGGTCCGATCCTATGAATGAATGAATGGATGGATGTATGGATGGATGGCTTGCTTGCTGTTGTGACCCCCAAAAGTCCGATATCTGACAAACCCCGCCAAAAAAAATAGTATTTAGGAAATGAGAAAGGGGATGAAGGAGGGGAAAAAAAGGAAGAAGAGATGATCTTCACACCGGCTGGCTTGTCCAGCTGAATCGGAATCGGAAAGGTCCCGAGATTGACTTGCAGCAAAGAAGCGGCTTTTGCGACCGGCCAATCAATACCAGCTTCTGGCCGCAAGTGGTAATATCCCCAAGGATCTTCCCCAGGCGTCTCTTATTTCTATATTCTTCAATGCTTACAGTATTATTAGGTACTTCCTTGTTTCTTATTGTTGCCCATGTTCATCCTAGTCGATCCGTGCTTTTGCGATGTGTGGTAACCGACTAGGTAGCCCAAGATCTCAAGGGGTCTGTGTCGGAGCTGAAATTGGCCCACTGACGCCCAGTCCGTCCACGATTTGGACGAGAGAGGTTCGAAGGATCGCGATGTGTGTGGGGGTGGGGGTTGTATTAGACTGGCCGTGTTCATTTATTAAGGATATCGCGGGTACCTATAGGATGCTGATCCGGTCTTCAATCAATATCGTATATGCACTGGATATGAGAAAGGGGGTTCTCAGTAGTCGCCGGGCATCTATAGTTAGAAATGAGCAGCAGAAAAAGCAGAGGTGGACGAGCTTGTGGTGAGATGGCTGACTTATTCAAGCTTAGGTAGATCAGCACATACCTGGTAGTAATATAATGCCAATACATCCGGGTCATCACATGAAAGCGCCTGGGCCTCTCCAATATATAGCTTCCAAAGTTGGCATAATTCTTGTTTTTTTCTCCTCTCTGGGAGGCAACCCTCCCAAAACCTGTAGTTGCATAGATACCTATACATATTAAAGTACAACGCCACCAAGCAGAGTAGATACCTCTAGACGCCGACAACGACGACGACGCAGTATGTAAAGAGTACACGTGTCAACGAAAGAAACTAAGCGAACAAGCTCGTGAGAGCTACAAATCCCTCTCTAATCTATGTCTTTCTTTTTTTGGTCCATTCCTTTATTTTCGCCTGAGTCCAAGGGTATTCGCAAACAACAATCGTACAGCCATACACCGCCGCTCGAGTAAGTCTATCCTTGTTGGATCCATTCCGCCTTGCTTTCCTGACCACCCGTCCGTCCATCCATCCATCCATCCATCAGTCGTCATTTTCCCTTGTCACTCATCCATCCTAGCCGTAATAATAATGTCGCCCCTCCTTCAGCTGCTCAACAGCCCGGAGGCTGTCTTCAGCTCGATAGAGTGTGACCAGAACTTGGTAGAATGATGGCCCTGTTACCATATGAGGAAAATCCCTTGCCTCGCGCAATTAGAATAACACGCAACGTTATGCTACATCGTGATCCTTCGAACTCCTTAGCCCCTCGTAGCCATCTAAGCCGGTACGGTAGACGTGCTGTCAATGTTCCGCGCATGCGCGGAATCAATGGGTATCACAACGTGCTATGCAAACAATCCTCATAGCCTAACGCAACGCCCCGTGAATGTCTCAAATTACAACCCAATCGATATCCTCGGCACCATCCTGTCGTGTATTATCATGGTACGAGGTGTGTATGCCCCTATCGAGAGGTATGCTGGCCGTGGTGGCCTGCCCCGGGGGCATTCGCGGAGGAACTGCTGGGCTCGGCGTCTTCCTCATTCTCGTATAGATCGAGGCATTCCTCAATGACTAACCAACGGGTTAGTATAATAAGCGTTCGCAGATATTGGTAGCAAGTCAGCAACGACTGCCATCTGGTCAGAACGTACTAGCAATGATGTTCTCCTCCCAGACACCGTACTCGTAATCAACGAGACCATGTCGATCAATCCCGTCGCAAAGTCTCACTATCTCTTTGCCCATCTTTCGTAGACCCTCTTCATTGATTAGTGTCTGGCCTCGTTGAAGCTGCAGGCCGGATTCCATTATATCCTTCTGCTTCTGGAATAACGAGAGCCATGCGTGGTTGAAATCTTGCCACATCTTGATACGATCTCTGTAGAGATTTTCGTCGTCTGCCGAGAGGCCTTCAACAGTTAAACACTGAGAACATCGATGGGCTACAGATAGACTTACCAAGTTCCACAACTTTGGAGAGCAGCCACTCTGAGATGTTTAGAAGCGACTCACTTGCAGCTTCCAGTACACCGTTTCGTATGTTGGTGAAGACCTCCCTAAGGGCCGTCTGGTAGTGCTCGTAGGCTTCGGCCATCTCTGTCGTTTGCGAATACTCCGTCTCTTCCATGGGCTGCTCTGGTGTGC